GGGAGCACTATTTATCAATCTGTAATAAAAGACGTGAGGAAATTCTGTCTTTTTTAAAGACAAAAATTTTTGAGACGAAATACCCAAAAAGAAGTCTGTAAAAAACGTGAAACCAAAGACGATAAAAACATCTGGAGTAAAACGCATAAGAAATAACCCAAACTTTTTCGACTGATTACTGCGACCTATTAGTCCTCATCATTTCAAAAGAAATTTAATTAAATATGTCCTCACTTTGAACATTCCCAAAGTTAAACAAAAAATGAATAAGCTTCAATGGTTTGAACAAAGAACGAGTTCCATCCTTGGACTATAATTACATGGTTGTGGCCATTAATTATCAAATTTTGTTGTGTAATGCTGCCCATGATTGGAGATAGACTCGACTATGGTATCAAAACACAGGCGAAATAGTAGTCATGGGTTTAATAAACCGTTAGGTATTAATCTCGGCTTGAAAGGCGATAATAATAATGTTCCTGTGTTCGAGAGGATTTTCAGCTCTCTTTTTTTAATGGGTTTTTGCAAAATGCCATGCTTTTACTTGTTTATCAAAAGGTATCAAATGTGTAGTGTAATCCTCAAAATGTTCTCACTCAAAAAAGTGAGGAATAATATATAATTATATGGAACTTTTCGGGCTCACACCGAAAAAGATGTGGAAAACCACCATGCAACCCATTAGGAAGACGTTCATTTCCACAACGGCTGCAAAAACGCATCAGTTTCAAACGGGATGCTCTTGAAAATTTCTCAAAATATTTCTGGTACGCCATCAACCTCTACTCATCGACACGCGAAAAAGATTGAAAACGCTCAAGACATTCCACATAAAACATACAGAGTGCTTATCATTTAGCCTTGTCTTGTGATTCATTTTTAAATCATAAATCGTTAAATAGCAAACAACGTCGGTTGATAATTTAACAGCAATGACCGCGATCGCATCGTTTAATAATGCAAATATTTCAAGAAACTGAACAAGCAACGCAATCTTTTATTTGCTGGAACGTCCCATACAGGCATGTTTAACTTGTTGGGCGCCAGTTTCTTGCAGATTTCACTCCAGATTGCCCACTGAAGTCACTAATTAGGTGTGGGAACAACAACACGATTTAAAGGAAACGAACAGTCCATTTAAGGCGCTAATTAACTTTCACCTCATTGGCATCCCCATGGTTTATGTTCTCAAAGGGACAGCCAACAAACAATGAATAACGACGATGAAAGTTTGGCGGGTATTAAGGACTTTCCTAATTAACACTTCACACTCATTATTCGGAAAATTAAATTCAAATTTGCATTCTCTGTTTAGTTTTATCACAATTCAGCAATTGGATCTGATGGCTCCTAATTAATAGTGCCGTTACTAGTAAAAGTCGGGCGAATTTCTAAGTAAGTCGAATTTGGGTTGTTTCCATGTTTCTGCAAGAGTGACTCAAGAAACAATGCTCTAAACCGGCAATTTCTCAGTTATTTGCCAACTAGTCTTAGTCACTGGAATAACGGTTCGCTGTTGCAAATCTCCGTCAATAAATAAACTAACTATTCGATTTTAGAAAATACGGTTAAAATTGCGCAGAATGATCCGTTCGACCTCCAAATCGCGAGTAATAACCAGTGCACACTTTCACTAAAGGTAACGTTATTATGCAAACAAGTTTCGTTTTCGGAGACGCAAATTAACGATTATTGTTTCATTGTTTGCCATTCGTTAAATTCGAGTGTGTGTGTGTATTTGTTGGTGTCACTTGGAAAACCGTGTTTGGAACGAAAGTGAATTCAGTTCATTCACAACAACAAAAACAGTGGCGAATTTGACCTTTGGATTATCACTGTTTGCTTTAATTGAATGAATGGATATGAATGTGTATGTCAAGGATGCGATGCCAGTGAATTGGGCAAAGTCTCAATAGTTCTGCTTTATGGATATTGTGATGACTCCTTTTTTCGCCTTGTTTGCTCTTCAGCGTGTTTGACTTGAGCCATCAGGTCTTTTATCGACCTTTCCTCTTCCTAAGGCTCCTTCTGCTGCTGATAGGATGTTTTGGTTCAATTGTATCCTTGGGTGCGGTTCTAATTTATTTTATTCATTGGATTCAATACTAAATTTTTCCATATTCTTAGGTGTCGGTTTCTCGACTATAATCCTACATGAGTTTATGGTCATTCTGGCTTCCTTTAGAAGCATTTGAGCCTCACAATCTTGTTGGTATCTTTAGATCCATCATGGCATTTTTAGATCTAAAAAAATGAGGTTTTCAAAAAGAACCGAAAATTGCCAGAAAATTACAATCAATAAAAAAAGCTTTATTGCCAACAAGATTGCGTTAATATGACTTGGTAAATTCAAGCCGCCGATTTTCATAATCCGTTCAGATTTCAGACAAAGAGGAAAAAGTAGTTTTTGGTTTAAATTTCTAAAAAAAAATTGTGACGAATATACAAGGTGTTTGATGAGGAAGGCGTATTATTTTAACCACGGTCACCACGGTCGAGATGGGAGAAAAACATCGATATTTCGCAAACATCGATGTAATTCGTTCGATGTTCGATATACAGTTGAGTCCGGATATAACAAACTTGAAAAATGAACTAAAACTGGTTCGTTATATCCGGAGTTCGCTATAAGCGAATAATAATACAAAAACACGTGGTGTATTTTATTTCGTTATTTTTACATAGAGTAGTAGAAGTTAGTAGGTATGACTAAAAAGAACACAAAAAGATAAACAAAATTCAATTTGAAGTCTACTTCATAAAGTCTGTAATTTTTGATTGTACATTTCTGCTGCAAAAATAGATGTTATTTATGTAGTTTTCAAGATCACAAAAGGACTCCCAGATATGATTATAGGAACTTGGCGTGATTCTAGGAAATTCCGAGTTTCTGACACTTTTTTTGTCATTTCAGAAATGGTTGGAACAGCATTAGTGTCTACAGTAGAATACGTTTCACCTAAACCGTCATCTTTCTCATTATCACTTAAAGCTGTAGATGAGATTACGGAGTCTTATAATTTGCTCATCGGTCAACATTTCTCTTGTAAGAATGCCATTATCAATGCTCACATATTCGAAGAAATTGAAATCACTCAATTTGGTTTTAAC